GAGGGTTCAAACCGATCGAAGTCTCTGGGAAGAAAACCGAAGTGTTGATTGCCGGTTCTCGTCGCCTTCTCTGCTTGTTTTGAACACCCGAGATTTTCCTGTACCAATACACCCAGGTCACGCTCCTGAGAAACCTTCGCCAAGTTGTGGTCTCCAAGCTGGTAACCGCTCACCAGCTGGTGACGCAGATGTAGTCACAGTAGATGCAGCCACAAAAATGACTAAATCAAATGCACGAAAACAATCCATTGTCGATTTGGTTTAGGCTAAATCCAGTGTGGATACATTGTTAGCATAATGGTATTTGAGGTTCAGCTTTTTCTTGAGTTAACTAATCGATTGTTCAGCTATTGCGACCACACATGAATAAGCAAGTGAATATGCCGCGCTGCAGGCAAGGATAAAACACCCTCGTAACGAATTGCGTTCGGGTGTTTTAGAGCATAACTAATGTTGTGTGGATTTGTATGGTGCCTACGTTGGATAATAAAATAAATGTTTCTTTTTTATTGCTTCTCCAACGATACACATTGTCACAGCGTTGTGCATGATTTTAGGCAAATTGGACTTTGGGCTCTTAATGAATCCGATGCACCTTGCAGCTAAATATGTGTGAAATGATGTAAGCAACGACGTCGTAGACTCAGAAATAATCCTTTTCCAGATTACGGGCTTCATAATTTAGCATCTTCCTCGACAGGTATTAGCGCTGAATTACCTAGTCAAACGGCGCCTGTTCACCGAGATCTTCATTAAAATGACATAAGGTATGCAGTCTTCTGTAGAATTTTCCAATTATCATGTCAGGCGAATCATTGAGTGAGGAGTAACAGCTACAAGTCCTCTGTAGGTAGTCATGTATATTTGTTTGCAGAGTTATTGATATTCTTCCTACCCATAGTTAATAGAAAGCGTAAAAAACAACATTGCAAAAATGTGCACTAATATGTCATAGGTCATGGGTTCGAGGTCTGTTATCTCTACCTAATGTGACTGAATGAGGTCGAAACGTGTCGTGTATTGTAATGTTTTCGGGCGGGGAACACCCGATTTTCTTCTCTTCATCAGCTACGGTCCTAGGGATCGAATTGAGCAAGGTTAATTTCAATGCCAATCACGTTATAAATTGAGATTGCTTGTCGCAATCCAGTCACAAAATGTACACATCGAAAGGATCATCCAATCAACTAAAATGTTTATTAACCTCTTGTCAGCTTTCTTTCGCCCTCGTCTGGAATATTGCGTCCAAGCTTGCCTGCCAAGCGTCATCCGGGACTAAATGGAGCTCGAGAGGATTTTACGAGTGAGTACTAAGTTGGTTGATTGGTTAGGGTGCACATGTACCCCGACTGCCTAGGTACTTTGGAAATGTACTCAATGTACTACTGTGGGCTTCGAGGAGACCATGTGCCCATTTACCTTCTCTTAACTGGAAAGGTTCGACTGGGCTTTTCTGGATTATTTAGCTCGGCCACGTTAGCTGATCTCTGTGGTCAGTCAATAAACCTACACAAGGCGCGTTCTGACTGGTTACGATGAAAACTCGCTTATCGTGTCGTGTTATCGAGCGTTCAAAACTCGCTGCTAGAAAATGTCATCCGGGGGTCTTTGGTTAAGTGTGCTGAGGGGTGGTTGGACGCTCTGCAGGCAGTGACCCGAAAGCTTCACATTGTCCTGAATAGAGATGTCATATTTTGCTTCTGTTATCCGTGCTTTGCGTCTCTCAGTGATAATGTCCCTCCTAATCGAGATGACCTTCTTTCTTTCTTATCTTTCAGCCCCTTTCTAAATTTTGCATAACTTACGTAACCGGCACAGCAGGGACTGCTAGCGCAGGAAAGGTGGACAATAACTGGTTGACCAGGCTGGGGTTAGGGTGTTTCCTTTTAAATCTATCAACACCTCACTACAGCTTAAACGTAGTTTAACGCAATACCTGTTCAAGGAGGATCACACACGGGACTTTGTTATCGTTGCAGTCCCACTTGCACTTAAACTTGGTAAGTCGTTTATTCCAGTAGCATACATAGATTCAGAAGCAAGCCCACGGGGATAAGCTTGTTTTCCTTGGTTTACTGTCTAGATGATGTACCACTTATAAGAGAAGCGGAAAGGACACGTGGGAATTTAATGTATTATGTTAAGGTGAGGAAATATGTACTCGACAGGACTAAGTGAGGAGACCGGTCCAATACATGTCCAGGAATTGCGGTGATCAGCAAGTTTATTCATTGCGACCTGTCGCCCAGACAAGTTGATAAACTGCAGAAACTGCTTTTGTACATACATCCAAGTTTGGGGGTCGAATAGCATTTTTCTTCGATGTCGACAGCCTGCTGCACCTGTCAGCTTGCGTATGATGCCCATATGCTCAGATACTGGAAAACATCAAGATGGTTGAATTGATTAAAATCCAACAAACTCGACAACATTGCACTCGTCGCAGTTTTCCCCACTCCACTGTAGAAGGAAACCTGACGACATGTCCGAGTTCTTGCAGACAGACACCCGGTTGTTCTTCAACTATGCACTACTTGGCACAAGCAAAAATATGGTGCGCATTAGAGGAATCCTGTATCCGTGGTATCCTGAGTCGTTGGTGTGCAACAGGCATTGAGGTGAAACTTGTGCCAAAATCATCTGTGAACTCCGACCACACGGTGCTGCTGGACTACCCTCAGTTTGTGCTGCGTCTATCGTGTCGCCTTTTCAATATCGACATTTCTACAGAAATGAATTCCAACTGTGACAATTGCATCCGCATGTGTTTCTGGACAAGGTTTCGTGATTATCCACTAAGCTTCAACACTATTCACCGGAAAATCTAGATTCCGTACACCACTTTCTAGCTGACACGAGTATGTGTCAAATTAGAACTCGTACCTACTTCAGCGGAACCATGTTTCCGGTCTCATCTTCATTGACCCAACTCACATCTAGTTTATCTGGAGAAAAATTTACCGTGAACGTGTTGCGCCCCATTTAAGCAGTAAGCATAATGTCGTACATGGGGATGAAGAAGTTCTATTAGTTTTAAAAAGTAGGGGAATTTATTAGGTTTTGTGAGCAGGGGGATTTATTTGGATGTATGTAGTTGTGTTCGATGTCGGTTTGAGCTTAACTGCGACAAGTGTTCACCAGCACCCAGTAAAGCCCTCCTACTTACTAATAATCAGTAGTAGGCTTACCAACTTACATGCCACCTCGATTAATGGCGGCTTGCAAAGGAAATCGTTGGTCTGGGGACCATCTCCGTCCACTGCGTGTTCATAACATGCATGACATTGGAGAATGAGCAACGCTATATCGCAGTTAAATATCAGTCATAGCGGCCCGCTGCCTCACCCATATCTCAGTGGCATAATTCACTGACTCGCAAGAGTGAGGTCGTGGTTTCGAACCCGTCAGGATTCGGCGGGTGCACTCTATTAACGAGTCCTAATAGGACAAAACGACAGCCTAGCGCTTTCCCGTATGTGTGGTAGCTGTCTGGTTGAGTCTAACTCCGAAGAAGCTTCATAAAGCTCTTATTTCCATGAATAATTCAAACGTCTAGGGTCAACCTAGCTCAGTGCAAGTGTCTATCGTCGTGACCAACTGCTGAAAGCTTCACCTCTAAATCAGGAACCTTACGGTTTCTTGTCAACGCAAGTGGACCACTAACCGACACACTTTGGTTTTTGGTCACTTCTAGATTTGTGGAAAAGCGTCGTTTTTCGCATAATAATATTAATAACAATAATATATCGTTAGCACCACGGTTCTTAACTCATAGACCGTTTCTTTGTAGTGAAATCGCGCACCCACTCAGGGCGAATGACAGAAAAGCTGCCGCCTAGTGACGGAAGCCTGTGCCCCTGGCCGTCCCAGTCGAACACGTTCTGGTCGCATACCGGTCGGAAAAATCATTACTAGTGTAGCTTTACGTCTTCACTACTATGTTATGATGTTTTTGACATCCGTTTTGATAAGCGTGGATGATATTTGCGACAAGAAGACTGTATTTACAGCCCTTACTAAGTATGCGTTGAAATTTTACTTCCTACGCGACGGTAACCCTTCCCAACTGTGTCTCACTGGGACGTCCATGAGATTAAAACCAGTCACACATTACATCAGATGGTCAACACCTATCGGTCACTCGTGCTATGCGGAATGCAGCGCACTGCTTGATCAGAATGTCTTAATTACCGCAACTGCACCAAGGTTGTCTTGAAGCAGCCGCTCTATCTAACATGGGATAAGGGTTAGTGTTGAGATAAGCCGCTCACACCACTCTCAGTGGGAGACAAACCTACTCAAAATATAGTTTTCGCAAATCTCTTGGACAACTTCTCAATCAGCGATGTATCCAGTCTAACACTGCAACAGTAACCTACTTTGTCTGTAATAATGAACGCTGTTCCCGAGCGCAATGATGCATGTATGCATCAATTCCCGTCAAAGCGAAAACATTCGTAAGGTACTACGATGCATCAGCGCCCTCAGCTTGTAACCTTCACCCTACAAAGGAATAAGTGCACACTTAGCATAACCCAAATAGTGCAGCTACTCTTCTTCAAGAAAGGCGTACTATCATGCACTAAGAGCATGTAGCACGTAAAGTTCAGGGAACTAGATTGAAATAATTAGCAAAAAGGACAGGGTAATAGCGTTCCTGTATCTCCTTTAAGTCCATTTTATAGTATGGTATAATGCGATGCACTCTTTGGTGCTCAGCACATGGTGCATACGTACAGCGTCCAGCTATCCACTTGTACGTGCAGCTACTCTTCTCCAAGAAGGGCCTACTATCATGCACTAAGAGCATGTAGCACGTAAAGTTCAGGGAACTAGAGTGAAATAATTAGCAAAAAGGACGGGGTAATAGCGTTCCTGTATCTCCTTTAAGTCCATTTTATTGTATGGTATAATGCGATGCACTCTTTGGTGCTCAGCACATAGTGCATACCTACCGCGTCCAGCTATCCACTTGTCCGCTGGATAGTACATGCAGATAAAAGCGATCTTGCACCCTGGCATATGCAAGAATTTATGAGGAAAGTTCGAAAAATGCTGCTAACTCTGTTTGTACACCTTGTGATTTCACAACTTATTCTGATGTGTCGAATCGAATGCGCGGAATTACCAGGCATGTACGCCAATGACGCTAGTTCTTCAGCAGACCTTGTGGAATCGCAAAATGAGGACGTACAAGGGGCTGGGACCGAACCTGATATGGCGACTGATTTACAACCGTCTTTCATGACTGATCTCTTCTCCTCTCTTGTGCCCAAGCTTGAAAAAGGCATTCAGTGGCTGCTGTCAAAATATATCTTCAAGAATTCAAACTCAAACGAACTCGGAACTGAATCTGAATCTCCCGACAAATATGAAAATCCAATGAATGCTGAGGAAAACAATCAGTTACCTCCGAAGCCATCAATCTTTTCTAGTGTTATGAAGTGGTTGCGCGGGAACAAGCGTCATGCTGAATGAATGATATCTTTCTTTGGATCCAGTCAGTCCTCTGGAGGACAATGCAACGATACCACTGTGCCTGGGGTTTTGAAATCAATAAACACTGGCTTATTTTTTCTTTTAAGTGTTACCGCATGTGGTTGGCTTGATAATTCTTTAGATAAACACTTTTCTGTACACAAAGCATCTTGTAATTCTTCTAGCCGCGTACACGATGGAATATGGGCCTTACGGTTTCTTCCTCAATTGTCATTTAAGAAAAGACTTAAGTTAATAATGGATGAATAATCAAGTCTTCATATCGGTAGCGATGTAAGATACTCCTGCCTAAAAACAGGCAGATATGGTAGTAGCATGCGCGTAAATGGAAAACGGAACGTTGTGTGGGATCGATGGCTTCTGGCATTCAGTGTCACGGTAACATTTTTGCATTCGCACCGATCGCATCAATGGAATAAGATTAGGTGTAAACGGCTTTAAGATATTTTATGGAGTTAGTCACCACACAGTCAAGAAAGCGCTGGATAGCCGTTTTATCTTCTTGGGACTCGTCATTAGCGCACATCCAACGAATCCACGGATTCAAACAACTAATCTTGCTCTTACGAGTCAGCGACTAATGCCGCCGAGTCATGGGTGACAGCGACAGACAAACTTAAAGCTTTTTGAATGGGTGATACGCATAAAAAAGGCTTTACTACGAGTAACCCATCAGTGCTTAATGAGTTGTAAAAACATAAGATGCATCGGCTCAAACCACCAAAAGCATCGTTAATCCACGGACTATTTCCGTAGGCTTCGGGGCATACGCTGCTTCTGTACTATTTTACCGCACATATATCTAAGGATTTCGTGTGTTTACTTTCCATATACTCCGCAGTTGGCCGGTTACCACCTGATCTTCTTGTATCTGTATAATGCTATCACTACGCGCAGTATTGTACGCATGTGGAACCACCACAATGTTTGAGATCTGAACATCAGAAGATGTACATGGCATCCTTTTAATAGTTTGTTGAATACTGCCTCTTGAATACGTCAGGTTCTAACAATGTGAATGTTTCACGAGTTGGAAGGCTGATTGAACGTGTGCGTTTTGTCTGATCCGAGTACATGTGCACTTGCATGAATCGAGTTTTCAGCCTTCCGTAATCTTAAGCCTGTAATAATTATAGGGACGTTGGATCCCCATAACATCCCCCCTTTAAGTTTGAACATACCGTTTGAGTTTCAGGTCGATCTGTATTCTTTCGGTTGTTCGACGGATGCGTTGTGATCTGCGAGGAGGAATCGGCGGTGCGAGTTCCACAGTTTCCGTCTGTTGCCCTGGAATTCCGAAAGTATCCAATAGTATTTGCAGGGGTGTTTTTGCGGTAGACTGAGATGGTTTTTTGAGTGTTCCATGTCGCGGTCGAAGTTGGTTTTGATGGGGAACCCAGGTGTCATCTCCTACAACGATATCATATAACATACCACCACGATGGCCCGTTACTGTAGCTTTGCTCCAGTGTGGATGACCAGCCCGGTAGTCACGGGCAAAAACCAGAGCTCCAACAGCGTAGCCCTTGCACTTGGTTTTGATTTTGGATTTCACCGGTGACACTTTTGTTGGGATTGGTACGTCGTGTGTTGTGCGCAGTTTCTGACCCATCAATGCTTCGGCGGGTGATTTCCCTCCTGAAACTGCTGGATTAGGTGTGGTCCTGTAGACGAACAGGAAAGGCTGAATAATGGTTTCTGTAGTCCCCTCCCCTCGAGTTTTTAAGAGAGCTCGCTTGAAAGTGTCGACAAAACTTTCCGCTTGACCGTTAGACTGTGGATGATAGGGTGGTGATCGGAGGTGCTTCACGCAGTGAGAGCGACAAAAATCCTCAAATTGGGATGACGTGAACTGCGTTCCGTTGTCGGACACTAGAACATCAGGGAATCCATGTTGACTGAATATGTGTTGGAGACAAGTTATTGTTGCGGTGGTAGTTGGGGAATTAACTGTTACGACTTCAGGCCATTTAGAGTACGCATCAACCAGGACCAAATATGAGGTACCATCAATTGGACTAGCATAATCGATATGTATTCGAGACCACGGTTTCTCTGTTGGTTGCCAGGGAACTGGTGGTTGGTGCTGTGGCATCTTAGCTGCTTGTTGACACCTGGAGCAACGGCGAACCCAATCTTCAATGTCGCTATCTATCCTAGGCCAATAGACGAAACTGCGAGCGATTGCCTTCATTCTGCTGATACCAGGGTGTGCAGAATGGAACTGACGGAGCACGGCTTGTCGAAGGTGGACAGGAACGATGACTCGATCAGCGGTCATAAGGCAGGAGTCAACGACAGAGAGGGAGTTCCGACTCTGGAATAAGTGCTTGAGTTCTCCTGAGAAGGGAATGTTAGGCCTACGTGTCTGAACGTAAGCGATAGCTTGGCAGAGGACAGGATCGTGTACAGTTTCGCGACGTATGTCGGCGGCTGTAAGAGGAAGGCTGCGGATAGTGTCTGAAAGCTGATGACGAACATCTGCTTCGACGGCGAAAGCGGCGATTACGATATCTTCATTTACCGTATGTTTGGGGATGAGGCGTGAGAGACAGTCAGCTTGACCAAAATCCTGAGTGCGGCAGAAACGGATTTCGAAATCGTAACCGAGAAGGATGACGGTCCATTGTTGAAGTCGACTGGCTGAATACGTTGTAATACCCTTCTTGGAGCCAAAGATGGACAACAACGGCTTGTGGTCGGTCAATAAGGTGAAATGTCGACAAGACAGCATTTTGTGGAACTTTTTAACAGCAAAGACGATAGCCAAGGCTTCTTTCTCGATCTGACGGTAGTTCTTCTCTGCGGACGTCAGCGTGCGGGAGGCATGTATGTCCGCTTACTCGGAACCATCGGGGAAGCGATGGGAGAGGACCACTCCGATTCCGTAATTTGCGGCATCGGCGGCGACTAGAATAGGTAAGGATGGATCGTAATGTGTCGGCAGCAGGTCAGAACTGAGCATAGTTTTCAGGCGCGCGAAGGCCATCTCGCATGCTGGGGACCAGTGCTAAGGAACATCCTTTTGCAACAGTTGACTTAGAGGGGCCCGTACATCGTGTAGTGATGGTAAGAAAGCACTGTAGTAAGTGATGAGACCAAGGAAGGACCGCAGTTGATGAATATCGTTGGGAGGTGGCATTTGGTGAATGGCTTCGACGTTTCCGGGGTCGGGGTGACGGCCATTAGCATTGAAGACAAAGCCGAGGTACTTGATTGACCGTAGGAAGAATTGGCACTTATCGGCTCTCAAGCGGAAACCATTAGCGCACATCCAACGAATCCACGGATTCGAACAACTAATCTTGCTCTTAAGAATCAGCGACTAATGCCACCGAGTCATGGATGACAGCGACAGACAACCTTAAATCTTTTTGAATGAGTGATACGCGTAGAAAAGGATTTACTACGAGTAACACATCAGGGCTTAATAAGTTGTAAGAACAAAAGATGCATCGGCTCAAACCACCAAAAGTATTGTTAATCCGCAAACTATTTCCGTAAGCTTCGGGGCGTACGCTGCCTCTGTACTAATTTATCGCACAAATATTTGAGGATTTCGTGTGTTTACTTTCCATATACTCCGCAGTTAGCCAGTTACCACCTGACCTTCTTGTATCTGTATAATGCTGCTACTATGCGCAGTATTGTATGCATTTGGAACCACCACAATGTTTGACATCTGAACATCAGAAGATGTACATGCCATCCTTTTAATGGAGTTAGAGGATGCATGAGTGCGCTAAACGCCCGTATGCAACACGGCTGTCGCTATTTGATGAAAGTGGTAGGCAGGGGGAGTGAATAACTGTTTTCAAACAGCGTGTAGGATAATTATAAATAATGGATCATCCACTGTGCCATGAAACAGAACTCCAGAAAGATCAGCTTGCATATGGGTATTCCAGAGTATGATACTGTATGTATCAGACCCCAAGATTCCAAAGGTAATGTCCAATCACTTTTGAAAGATGTTAGAGTAGTAAGGGTGATAAGCAAATGTGGAAGAGTTTCAAGTTTGGTCTACTCGGTGAGGAAGCCAATTTGGCTGCACTGCTTTTTCCGTCATCACAAGCATAGGGTTCTTGTTAGAGTTGAGGACCCATATGTGATTAAATTCATCCGATATTTCCTAAACTATTTGAGGTCACTTCGTAGCTCCATCCTTTGTCGGTATGGAAGCATATGTCAATACTGGACTTCCTCCATCGCCATGCATTCTTGCGTCTTAAGCATCAAGACTGTACGCTTCTGCCAAGGTTACTAATCTTAAACCATTCTCAGTGTGAGGGCGCATCATAAGAAAGTTAGAGGGCAGCAATTAGAAAAGACAGTATTGCTGGATTCTCTTTCTCTGAAGTGAATTAGCAGCATTTTGTACGACAGAAGACAACCTGTAGAGCATACTGAAGTGCTATTCTTTGGAGGAAGTACGTAGTTTTTGCATCAAGCCCATACGTATGTAATATTCGGTCGCCTAATAAAACAACTGAGTACTTACCTACTTTGTATGGTAGGATGTTCCGATCCTTTTATTTTGAAGCGTGTTAAATGCCATAGTGAAGATTTGTAACAATGAACAATGATATGTAAAAACAGTATTTACAAGCTGCGGTGGGTGTCCTGATGGGTTATAGAAAAACGTTGAGAAAATACATAGTGTGTACTTTCCATATCAAATGCATGAACCTATCGATTTTGATGTAGTTGTCTCACTTAGTTACACAGCTTCAATAGGTGACAAAAAACCAAAAAGTGAAACGGCGAGTGTTAACTAATCTACTCTAGATGAACGAGTAGGTCATCCAACAGACTTAATTATGGCTGGTGTAGGTGTGTAGACGACTGATTCGGGTAGAACGTTCCACGGGTGGCATGCACCGTTAGAGTTGCAGATTAGTGTGTTTTGTAACTCCAATCACAGACTTGTTAATAGACAAAATCTATCTAGTGAAAAGGCTGCACAGTGTTGCCAAAATAACACACCTGTTGACGAACAGTAGTGAAAGCAAGCCGGTTGAACGGTCTCTCAAGTCTCATGAAATGCAGCAAGGCATGTAGAACTATGCACCAATTGCGTGAACACTTCAGCTGTTAGCTGAGCAGCGACACTTCACCCCTAAGAGTATTGCGACTAAA